ATAATTATTTATTAATTGATCTAAAAAGAGTCTTTAAAAGAGTTTCTATAAAACTATATCACAAATTATCTATTTATCTATTTATTATGAGTTTTTTTAACAAAAGAAAATCTAATTAGAAAAGCATTATTAAGATTAAAAAATATTTATTAATTAATATAAAAAGAGGTTTGAAAAGAGTTCCTATAAAACTCTAACACAAATTACCTATTTATCTATTTATTATGAGTTTTTTAATAAAAGGAAATCTAATTAGACAAGAATTATTAATATAAAAAAATATTTATTAATTGATACAAAAAGTGTTTTTTAAAGAATTTCTATTAAACTGTAACACAAATTACCTATTTATTTATTTATTATAAATAGATTTTTAGAAAATATAATAATTTCTATAAAACTCTACCACAAATTATCTATTTTATTTTCTTTAAAATTCTATCACATATAACTTGTTTTTATCTATTTATTGTGAGTTTTTTTATGAAGGAAATCTTATTAGACAACGATATATTTAAAGAAAATATAATATTTTTTTAAAAGAGTTTATATAAAATTCTAATAAACCTATTTATGTATTTATTATGAATTTTTTAATAAAATATAATATAACTAGACAAGAATTATTAATATAAAAATATTTAATAATTGGTATAAAAAATAAAATAATTTTTCTAAAACTCTACCACAAATTATCTTTTATTATGAGTTTTTAATAAATAAAAAAATCTAATTAGACAAGGATATATATATTTAAAGAAAATAAATAATTTATATAAAATTCTACTACAAATTACCTATTTTATTTGCAATGAAACTCTATCACATTAGATAAGAATATATTTAAATAGTTTTTATAAACTCTAACACAAATTACCAAAACTTTACCACAAATTAAGTATTTTATTTTCTTTAAAATTTTATCACATATAACCTGTATTTATCTATTTATTATGAGTTTTCTAATAAAATAAAATCTAATTAAATAAGGATATATTTAAAGAAAATAAAACAATATCTATAATTCTATCACATTAGACAAGGATATATTTAAAGAAAATATGTAATAATATAATAATACATATAAATAAAATATAAATGTTAAAGAATTTGAACATTTAAGTATTTATTTTTTAATATAAAAAATATTTATTAATTAATAGAACAAGAGAACTCTATCACATATAAGTATATAACCCTTGTATTTATCTATTTTTTATGAGTTTTTTAATAAAAGAAAATCTAATTTTACAAAGATATATCTAAATAAATTGAAATAATTTCTATAAAATTCTATCACAAATTACATATTTAACGAAATTAAAATATAACCTAGGGTCTTCCAAAAACCACAAATTCCGTATAATAAATTTTTATATCAATTTCAATGTAATGTATAATTAGTATAATTGAATTTCTATTTTAAAAATTAATATAATTGAATTTCTATTGTAAATTAAAAATTATACTAAATTTTAAATTATCTAATAAAATTCAAATTACAAATTACCTAAAAAAATTTGTTACTTTGCAAAACTCAAATATTTTACTATTTAAATAAAAAATTATTATTCAATAAAAAATAAAATATACATATTTCAGTATTAATATAAAAACATAAAAGAATTTATTAATTTACGAAACTTAAACTCTATCACCAATTTCAAAATATTTCAGTATTTATTTATTAATATAAAATAAATTTTTATTAATCAATATTAAAACAAAAATTTTATAAATTACAAAATATTCACCACGTGCATCGCACGTGCCTTTTCCTAGTATATATAAAGTAAGGGAAGAAAAAAATCCGGGGTTTAGTCCCCTATACTGGCTCCATGGCGGATGGGACCAGATGATGAAGCCTTCGGCGGTGTCGTATGACACATCGCGTTTCAATTGGGCCACAACTCCTTTCCTACTCATTCTACATAGGTGACATCGACGAGTACAAGGCAGCAATCGGTGGCGACGAAGTCATCAAATCAATCTCATTCTTCCATCGTCGTTGGAAATTACAAGGTACCCAATTAAGCACCTAATCAAAAGACCTAATCTCATATTGTTTGGATTTTGAGTTGTTATGTTTTGATGTGCAAAAATTTGTGGGTATTTGTGTTCAACCCCTTTATTTTGTATGTGTGTGTGTGTATATATATATATAGATCTGTATGTGTGTGTGTGGTGGTGGTGGAACGGCGGAGAGGATGGTGGTGGTGGCCGGAGGAAATGGCGAGGAGAGGGGAATCGTATATGTGTATTTGCGGGGGTAAGTTGTTGAGATTTTTTTTTTTCTTCTTAAAATTATTTGCAAAGGTTAAAATGGTCATTTCAGGGTTTCAATTGGATGGTAATAAGGTATTTTTAAAGGTGTTGGGGGTTGTGATTGTTAAAGTTTGTAAAAAACAATGCAATTTATCCTTTGAAAATTATTACCAAACATCAATTTTTAATGATGCCAGCACACTTTTTGCTTGTAAAATGATACTGTATTATTATCTTTTTAATTTTGTGTTGATTTACTAAATGGTTTTTTTATATATAAAATGACATTTCTACCCTCATAACTCAAAATAAAATGACTTTTCTCATTTATTTGATTTCATAAATCTGAAAAATAATAATAATAATAATAAATAAATAAATTCATTTTTATCAATGAACACAAAATAAGATATATTTTGAATCACTTACAAATTAACAAATTTTTGTACATAACATAGTCTTTTACCGATTGGGTTGAATTTTTTTTATGCAAATACTCTCCATGTAACAATAATAGATTTGGGATCCTTTTTGGAAGATAGAAATTCAGAGAAAGAAAAAAAAAGGTTGGTGATATTGGCACTCCAAAATGGTACTTTTAACACTCCATTACTATTGTCATTATAATAAAATACCAAAAAGGTCCTCCTTGTGTTTTAAGGGTTTTTATCTCTCTTGTTTCCTTTCTTATCTCATTTTTGTCTCTTCCTCTCCTGTTCCCATTGCAACGTTTTTCCTTTGATAATTTTGAATTATTCTTTGGGTTAAATGCATTAAACCCCCTAAACTATGACTCAATTGCAAGAACCCCCGAAGTAAACCCCCTTAAACTATTACTTTATTGCATTTAGTGACAAACCGTTAAAAAGGCGTTAACGAAAAACAAAATTACCATTTAATCCTTACTTTGACGATGTCGTGTTACCTAATTACTCCAACTTTTTTTTTTTTTTTCCCCTCTCACGCACATTTCTCCTCTCATCCCCTTAACGTTTTTTTTGCAAATCCTAGTTACACGCCGCCACCATACCCTGAACAACGCCGCCACCATGCGTAGAACAACGCCGCTGTCGACGGAGACCACGAGAACTACAGTTAGAAAGAGGTTGCGGAGATTAGCGGCCGCCATTATATGAAAAGGAACATCCTGAACGTGGCCGATCATCTCCAATTTTACTGCAATCAAGGACAAAGCTTCATGCCTGCTTCAAAGCCCAATTAATCTCTGCATCCATATCTTCATCTGGATTATCGAATCATTCGTTTGAGAATTGGTTGCGCTATTTCGCCGGAGATGGCTGGATTTATTTCTCAATCGATTAAAAAATAGAGTCAGAGAGGGAGTTGTGATTCAGTTACTAATTTTGTCATTGCTGGGTATTCATTTGCAGAATTTATCCGGAATATGTAATGGTGGTTTTGGGGTGCGGATGGTGGTAGACGCCTTTATTTTCTCTCTCCCTTGATTTCTACTATCGATTGTGGGGTTGGGTGGTGGTGGCGACGATGCCAGTGTGGGGGTGGTGGCGCTACCGTGGTTGAAAGGTGGACATGGTGGTGGCAGTTACAATAAAGGGATGATGGTGCGTGGAGGCCAGGTGGCTATAGTAAAGTTGTTGATGATGGTGCGCGGCGGTGGTTGTAAGTGGACATGGTTGCGGCTAGTCTTCCCTACATAGGAAAAAGCTTAACCCAAAGTTCACAAGAATAATTACAAAGGTTCAATATAATTCTGTGTTTTGTTAATTTATCAGAAGAGGTCTGTTAATATACAACATATAATTGGCCATATTTCCAAATCATGTACCAGAAGCAGCCTTAGGACTTCAAAATGATGATGAAGACAAACGACGATGAAGAAAGCAGCCTTAAGGGCGAGACAAACGACAATGAAGAATGCTCCAATGAAAACAACCAGAGATTATTTCAACGATGGTGAGGAAAATGTCGATTATGTAGATAGGCATAAAGCTGTGTTTGGGCCTAACTCATAAGATTATGCTTGGAAATGGTAATAATGTTTTTTTTCAAAGATGGGTTGGTTATGTGACTTGCACAGTCTGTTTACTGTCATTGAATCAACTGAAAATTAATGAAATGTGATTTTTTTAAATAAACAAAATAGTTTAGGGGGTAAAGTATCATAACCATAGTTCAGGGGGTTTCTTGGAAGAGAGAAGATTGTTCGGGGGGTTAATGTACTTAACCCTTCTTCTTTTAACTCTCTATATTTTCAAATTTTAATGAGCTTGTTAACAATTTGAATGCAAAATCTAGTGTTGTTTATATCATTTGCTAATACTTTATTAATTGGCATTTACATTTGAAGACAAATATGAAGCCAATCACATATAATAGAAATGCTCTAGAACTGGCAAATTGAAAAAAAAAAAAAAAAAAAAAAAAAAAAAAAAAAAAACAAGCATTATGACTAAAACTTTAGAGGAAACAAATTGATTTGTTTGGATTGACAAGAATATTTGGTCAATGACTATGTTGAGTATGGTATAGTTAGGTTGTAAGCCTTTCTTGTTCATCAATAATGAGGCCCTGTTTGGTTGGTGTTTATGTTGTAGGCCTGCTACAGTAGCCCAATTCCAACCCAAACACATGTTTGGTTGGGCCTGTTATATTTTAAACATTTGCAAAAAGTGGCCCAAAATCTGAAACACCATTTAGGTGTTTTTGTTTGTTTTTGCACTGGCCATAACAGTTATTGTAGCAAAGCAAACAAGGCCCTTCATTTTACTATAGCAGAGGCAACAACTGAAGGACATATAAAAGGAAAATGTTAGCATTTTTAGGGTTCACGTTTACTCTTCTCCTCTCTTGCGATTCTTGGCGACTGCGTATGGTGACTAAAAACGAACACTGAATCGAAGCTTCCACTGTAAACCTTCATCGATCTTCATTTCTTTGCTGTCATCTTCGACGATCTCAACAGGTTTGACGACTTTCTTTGAATATCTACAAATTCTGGGTGGTTTTTTTTTTTTTTTTTTAGCGGTGCCAAATCCACACATGGAGTTCGAATTTGGAGTTTTATTGCAACTTCGAAATTTTTGGAAACCCTAATATTTTCGATTTTAGTTTTACCATCTGCTTTCTTAGACTTTTGTGTTTTGGAATCTACATATTAAAATATTGGTATTTATTTGGGCATTCTTTAAACTGAAAGCATATTTTGTTCAAACCATAATTTATTATTATTATTATTATTTTTATTTTTATTTTGTATAATTTACCTTTAGTATATTATGACGGATTTATTCGAATTTCGTGTTCAAAATTGACGGAATTGACGATTACTGAAATGATTTTGTTTGAAACCCTGATTTTTTTTACGTACTGTATTTGTTTGTATAACAAATTACTTGCAATCTTGTGTTCAAAATCGATGGAATTGAGGAATATATGTTAATTTTGTATAATATGTTATAGGGCATAATTTTTTTTGCAGATTATACATTGTTGTGACATCAAAGATTGTTGTGACATATTGTATGTGACAGATTGTTGCTCCAAATATTCCAAATCATGAGTGGCAATCTTGAGCCCAGAATCTTGGAAAACGATACTGTAACGTGATTGATGTAATTTCATATTTATTTATTTTCAAAGGCCATTGACAGTATAAGGTAGATTAACAAAGGATTTTGATTCAGCCGAATAGATAATGATAGGATGTGCTATAAATCCAAATTTATAAAAAATAATATATTAAGTCATTGAATGCTCATTAGTGTCAAATTATATCATTAATGTCTCTGCTTCAAAGATTTAGCAAATATATTTCACAAGAAATGGTCATCTACCTCCTTCCACCATCATTTTGGAAAGTACTATTTATTGATTCAAAAGATAACACATGTTACTTTGTTTTAGCTTTTGTATACAGTATTAGTTTTTTTTTTTTTTTTTGACGGTTTTAGCTTCTGTATACATGTTACTTTCTTTAGTTTTAGCTTCTGTATATATGTTAATTTTGTATAATTTTAGCTTCTGTATACATGCTAGATAACCTTGTCCAAACTGTTACAGAATGAACCCCTTCTATACCCCTTCTGTATACATGTTTCACTTGTTTTAAAGCTTATCTAATATGCTTCTTTAATCACTTCCTTTGTTTCTATCCAAAAACTATACTTAAATTTAAGTCATTTGTTTAAGTAGTCATATTTTTGCTCAAAATGGAAAGTGTTTTGTTTACTCTATATAGAAGTATTTTTAATAAAGTTTCTCCTATAGAAATGTTAAGTCATTTGTTTAATTATGCTACCATGATACTTTACACATACTAATGGGCAGTGAATAATTTTTTTTACACACACACATGAGTAGTCATATCTTTGAGATTGTTAAAACTGTACCCACACGCATAGTGTTAAGAGTATATTCGTAGTAAAAGTTATACTAAAATCTAACTTCAAATTAAAATGATCAATTAGATGGATGTGAATGATGAGAATATGATGTCAGTAGATGTAGAAAACCTTACAGACATTACCGATGATGGAAAAGTAGTATGGGATTACTCTTATATTGAAATTTTCAGTATCCTTATGGAGGAAGAAGTGAGGCCCGGTAATCGTACTTCTGGAACTTTTAACACTATTGGTTGGAAAAATTTAGTAGAAGGCATGAGACTTCAAATAGGGAATAACTTTATAAGGAACCAACTTAGGAATAAATTCAACCAGTTGAGGGCAAATTACAAAGACTCTGTGAAACTATTAGTAGAAACAAGTGTTGGATACAATGCTGAGATAGGCATGGTTATACTTGAACCTGAAAGATTGATAGGTTGATAAAGGTTAGTAGTGAAAGTTAATTTATCTATCATATTCAAATGTGGGTTTTACTTCATATTAATAATAAGATAATAATTTGTAGGTGAATAGGGGTACAAAAAAGTTTCAAAGGAAAGGGATGTAAGTATTTTGACGAGATGACCACCATCTATAGGGACACGTATGCTTCAGGTACGCATGTGCATCATTTTACTAGACCACCCACTATCAACCAAGTCCCCCTATACCATACAGCCACATATAGTGGCCCTGAAAATAATAATTTGGTAGAGGTAGACGGTCATGAGATCAGTCCATCACCTCGACCTCATGGTAAGAAACCAAAAAAAGATAGTTTTGCCACCACAATGAGCAATTTTATGGCAAGTATGATGATAAGTGCTTAAATGTTGCATATTTCAGCACCTAAGCTAAGGTATTTCAGTCTTTCATCTATCTTAATTTCATGTTTTAGTCCTAATTTATATTTATGTGTATTTCAGGGCAATAAAGTTAAAATGAGCTAAAAACGGTCCATTAAAGCTTTTTTGGAGTCAAGCAAAGATATTCAGAAAAAGTTCAGAAAATGACAAAAAGATGTCGTAGCCCATTGCTCGTATAGTGTGCTTATTCTTCGAAAGCGGTCAATCTCGGGCCTTTGATGATGTTCCCAAAGATGAAGAAGCAAACCAATTAACCCGGAGCCAAAATGGAGCTAAATAAGGCTTAAAGGAAATTTCCAACTCTGGGGGGATCGATCTCTCAGGGTGGGGGATCGATCCCCCAGGACTTGGCAACATTACAGATTTTTTTTTATTGTTTGGGCTTATTTTGTGAACTATTGGGCTTTAATAGAGTTGTTACTTAAGGCCCAGTGAGCCATTAGATTAGGGTTAGTATTTATTTTATTTAGGTGAATATTATTAGATTTTTTATTATTATTAAGTTTTTAGTATTCTGTATCGATATTTGATTCTCTCTGGAAAACACAAAGAGGAAAAAGCTAGGGTTCTAGAGAAAAGCTCAGAGAAGAAGAAGAGGAGCCAGATGAATCAAAGGATGGGGCTTGTTGACATCTTGCATCCATCAACCATGAGTGGCTGATTCTTCAACTTAAGGTTGGATAAACCCTAAGCATGTAACCTAATTCTTAACTCTTGACTTTTGGGGATTAATTTGTGTAATTTATGTTATAGCCTTGATATATATATATATATTAATTCTTTCATTTGATTGTCTATGTCAATTTCATATTGTCTTTTATGTTTTTGAATGATAATCAATTTCTACACTTGATTTCTTTGTCACTTGAATCTTGTGATGGCTATACATTGTATTAATTAGATGTAATTGTATTTTGATTTGATGGAAATTGCTTTTAGTAGATGGGTTGTACTACAAAATTAAGTTAATGTCTTGTCTAAATAGTTTAATTTCAGGCTTAGTTAGTTTAATTTAAAGTTAATTAATTTAATTGCAATTTAATTCCTAGGTAAGTAGATAATCCATACTAGTGCTTGAAATCCATATTTATTGTCACAATTGCATTACCCTCTAGATTAATGTGTGTTGAAATTGTAACTTAAATTGATAAATCATGCTTTGAATTGGTGAATTACACTACACTTAGTTTAATTGTCATTAGGTAGTTGATTCATGCTTGAAATTGATGGTTTATACTTTTTATTGCAATTATTAGCCACATTCTAGATTACACATTTTTATTCCCCAATTAGTTAAAAGTTAATGAGTTAGGGAATGTGCTTAGTGGTGAATCCTACACCCTAAGTCTCTTTCCAATCTTTATACTCTACTCTTTATTTGCATTATTAAATTTAAAATTAGTCTAATCACAAAACCAAACCTTTTTAGTAATCACATAAGCACTAAAGTAGAATTTAATTCTAGTAAACCTATAATTGTTTAGATCTCTTGGGACGATCCTTGCTCACTTCATACTCCATAGTATAAGTGTTTAGTGGTTTTATAAATTTTAAAATATGGTGCCCACTTAATATTATTTCTAAACCTAAAGTGTTTTGCATTATTTTGTGCACACGCTTGGTCGCACCATAGTTTTGGCGCCGTTGCCGGGGATCTAACGGTTTTAAAGAATTGAATTAAACATTAGTTCTTTATTGATTGTCTACTTTTAAGTCATTTTAATTTTTAATTTTTTTTTATTTGATTTGTCAATTAGGTACTTGAAGCAAAGTGGAGCAAACGCTGGACTTAGAAGCAATTAAAAAAATTTGAAGTTGCTTAAGGACCATCTGTAAGTTCTCTTTAATTTTAGTACTTTAATTGTATACCAATTTGCATGCTTTGGATAGCCCAAGTAGAGGCTTAAATTGAGTTGTTTTATTTTTAAGTCCAAGCATACCTTCTTGTAGAATGCATTGGCCCGTGTGGAGGCATTTATTTGTTTTAAGTGCATTGATATTATTGAGGAGTTTGGGAACATCGTATGTGGAGGTTGAAATTTTGAAATGTTGGTGTGTTGACTTGTTCTAGTGCATGCATGGTCGTAGATCACTTAATCGTCCTCTTGCTCCTGTAAATCAAAATCTCGAAATTTTTCTTCGGCGTTTAAGAAGTAGTACTAGGGATAGTCATCTTAATCTTTCAAATTTTGATCTTCCATCACCTTTAATGGAAGACCTAATAGATCCAATTGAAGATCCCATTGTAGATCTTGGTCATGTGGATCATAATGGTGTGCACCACCCACCACAAGTTCATATTGTGGATCCTCAAGGTGTGCATCCACCCTTGGGAATGCCATAACCAGTTAATCATGTGGTGCAACAACCTAATCTAGGGATGCCAAGGCCAAATGTTGTTCCCCCAATTGGTGCGCAACAACAACAATATGTTCAAATGGCATACCCTCAACAAGGTCAAATGGCATATCATCAACAAGGTCAAATGCCATATCCTCCTCTCAATCCTCCAATGGTCCTTAGGGATCGTTACACTCCAAATCAATATAATGCACCCACTTGCATTCAATTGTCAAATTTTCGTGCTCATCATTATGAGATTAAGGCTTCCACTATTAACATGTGCCCCATTTTCTATGGGTTGAGCAATGAAGAGCCTTATAAATATTTAGATGAGTTCTTAGAAGTTTGTTCCACCGTGAAAATCACGGATGTTCCGGAAGAAGTCCTAAAAATGAAGCTTTTCCCTTTCACTCTTCGGGATAAAGCTAAATATTGGTTTAACAACTTGCGACCAAATACAATCACCTTTTGGGCACAATTGCAACAAGAGTTCCTAAAAAAGTATTACCCCGCAAGTCGAACCGATGCCATGAGAACTTCCATTCGTGAATTTAAACAACAAGAAGGAGAACCCCTTCATGAAGCATGGGAACGTTTGAATGACTTGCTACGGAAATGTCCACATCATGACATTCCTAAGTGGCAATTAGTTCAATGTTTTTTTTCAAGTTTATCCGATGCCAATAAGGGCATTGTTGATGCTTCTTGTGGCGAAAGCTACATAGAAAGAAATGAAGATGAAATTTGGCTTCTTTTCGAAAAAATGAGTGAAAACTCAATGCATAGATCTTCATCTTCTAGGGGTGGTCACCTAGCAAATATGGGAGGAAAGAAAGCTCTAAATCAAATAGACTCTTCCATGGAAATTGCCGCCGAGGTCAAAAATCTTACTCAAAGATTTGATAAATTCCTTTTGAATCAAGGTCCGGTAATTCAATCTTATTCTCATCCTTCCAATGAAATGTGCATGACTTGTTCTAGTTACACTCACCATACTTCAAATTGCCCTCTTGGACAAGTCATACCAAGTGAGTCTCAAGAAAAAGCAAATGCAGCTTTCATTCATCAAGGGAACAACCCTTATTCCAATACTTACAATCCGGGGTGGAAAAATTATCCTAACTTTGCATGGAGAAATCAAGGAGACGGTGCAAACCCTCCTCAAAATCAAGGTTACCAAACAAAGTATGTTCCCCCACATCTCCAAAATCAAAATCAGAATTCTCAAGGTTACCGTCCTTCATTCTATCCTCAGAATGTGAATCAATACTCTCAACCTCAAGCATCAAATTCTCAATCTTACTCTAATCCAAATCAAGCGCCTCCTAAAAGTTCCGCTTTTGAGGACAAAGTCTTGCAAGCCTTAGGTGATCTTCGAAAAGATAATCAATTGTTTCATTCTTACTCTCAATCAATTGCAAAGCTTGAAGCTCAAATTGGGCAATTAGCTAATTCTTTAAATGTGAGAGAGAAAGGTAAGTTGCCTAGTCAAACTGAGACCAATCCTAAGGGGCAATTTATGGCGCAAGCAAGTCCTTCATCAGAATTTTCTGGAAATGAGCAAGTTCAAGCAATTACTACCTTGAGGAGTGGTAGGAAAGTGGATAATACGGTAGAGGTACCTAAGGAGGATAATGAACTGAAGCAACCAAGTGGTAGCATCCGTCCCATTCTGTAATACCCCTAATTTTAAAAAGGATATTCCTGGTATTTAATGGTGTTTAATGTATTATTTAAGTGCATTTTATTTGATTATGTGTCATTATTATTTTTTATTAGGTGCTTAATTGTTTTCTTTTGTGGTGATTTAATTTATTTAAATGATATTTATTTTTAGTTATTTGATTGGAATTACTTGTTAGTGTTTTAATTATTTAATTGGCATTAATGGTTTAAGTGTAATTGGTTTAGTTATTTGATTGGAATTACTTGTTAGTGTTTTAATTATTTAATTGGCATTAATGGTTTAAGTGTAATTGGTTTAATTATTTTATATGTGTCTTATTTTATGTGTGTCTTATTTGGTTTAATTGGGTTTACTAATTATTATTTTGTTCAATTAGATTATTTGTTAAGTATTTAATGTTGAATAGGGTAATTAGGTAAATACATCTAACTAGGGTTTTAATTACAGTATAAATTAGGGTTTTATATTATAACCGTCGTAGGTTTCTACGTTAATTGGATGGGCCGGTTAGGATTGTGAGTTGGACTTAAATGAACCTAGGGTTTAGGAAAACTCTATAAGTATAAGGTAGACGTCTGTGTAGAGTTTTTTTAAACAAAGCACACGTTTTGTGGAAGTGGAGAAGGAAAAACGTAGTTTTTCACATTCTGCCAAGGTTTGATCAAAGCTCCGATCCTGCTTCGTCCGTGGTCCGATTGAGCTGAATTTTGAAGGAGAGGTTCACGACTCAGTGACGCACAATCTGAACGGTGGAGATTAGAGTTTGACCTCGGGAATAGTGATTCGTACTCATGAACAGTAACTGGGTCGCACAGGTTTTTTTCCATTCTGCCCAGATTTCATCAAACACCCGATCCCGCTTCGTCCGTGGTCCGATCGAGCTGAAATTTGGAGGATAGGTTCACGACTCAGTGACGCACAATCTGAACGATGGAGATCAGAGTTTTACCTCGGGAACAGTGATTCGTACTCGTGAACAGTAACCGGGTCGCACAGGTTTTTTTCCATTCTACCCAGATTTTATCAAACATCCCATCCCGCTTTGTCTGTGGTCCGATCGAGCTGAAATTTGGAGGATAGGTTCATGACTTAGTGTCGCACAATCTGAACGGTGGAGATCAGTTTTTGAGTTCGGGAATAGTGTTTCGTACCCATGAACAGTAACCGGGTTTTGGAACTCGCCGGGTTTTTTTTTTAAGAAGACGACGTTGAAACTTTGAACAAAAGTTTATGAGGCAAGATTCTATCCTTACTCTTTCCCTTAGGCTTCATACTCTTTGCACTCTTAAATGATTCCAGGATTAATGAAGATTAAACCAAACTAAAATGATATCTGTTTTGCTATGAAATTGGTAGTTACAGTAGTGTTGTATGCTTGTTTAACCTAGACTAAGCATGTTTGTGGATGCATTGTGGTTCTGTGATTCACGTTTTTCCTTACCACTGCTAGTATAAATTATTGGAAGGATGGGTCTAGATGATAGCTATCTTAACTTCTGTAATAGCAACTGTTGGAACTTAAATACTAGGAGGATTTGAGTTTAACACTAGATCGGTTTTGTGGAACACTATAATTTGAGCATGTCTACATACATACTGTGAATATTGTTTTGATGCTTACATTATCACAGTTAGTATCAACTGTGGAGGTTAGGATTTTGTGATACATACCCTACATATCTGTATGTCAGTTGTAAGGTGTTAAATGGAAGTTTTAATTAATTCTGTTTTTATATCAGACTAAAGGGAACAACT